TTTGGGTGTAATGTTTATAGGACACAAATATAAAATAGGACTTTTTATATAACATAACAACGCTAAATCAAAATGAGTTTACTCGAATAGTTAGAACACAAATTAATAAAGAATGAGATTTAGCACAACTTAAATAAAGTGATTTCGCTTTTCACTAAATTTATCGGATACCTACTCGTAGTTTTAAGAAAATAATACATTTTTTTTATTGATATAAACGCAATGATTTTTTAAGACTGCAATCTTAAAAAATCTTAATTTTTTTTTATTTGCTTATCACGATAAGATTTATCACAATTATCTGTAATTTTATTAGAGACCGGAAAATAAAAGATAAAAATAGGATTTATGCATTGCTGTTAATATATTTCACTGGTCTTTAAATCCAAAAAACTACATACTTCGGCGTTTACACCGAAATTTACTTGTCAACAAAAATGACAATACGCTATAAATGGTTATTGTGATACAAAATTGCTGTGGATGTAAACACCATTGAATGTTTTTTTCTCAGACGTATATACCTATATACAAGCTATTTTTTAAACTAAAGGATTTTAGTAATTTATAATTTTTCATGACTGAAAATAAGTCTCTTTTGTATTTTACACTTTTTAGTGGTTTTAAACCAAAAAAATACTGCAGGCGAAAATACAAAATAAATTTCGTTTTTTGACTCCTCTGAACAGACTGATTTTGGCTTTTACGCCAAGTGAACCCAGAAGTACCGATATTGTATTTAGAAATAAATGCTATGTTCGTAATTAGTACCCCGAAATACCTCGAAAATGATACCCATATTGCATTTATTTGAAAAGTCGTGTCCGCCATCTTGAATTTAGAAATAAATTCTATATTCGTAATGAGCACCCCCAAATACCTCGAAAACGATACCCAACTTGCCATTATTTGAAAAATCGTGCCCGCCATCTTGGATTTGGAAATGAGTGCCATATTCGTAATGAGCAACCCCAAATACCTCGAAAATGATACCCATATTGCATTTATTTGAAAAGGCGTGTCCGCCATCTTGGATTTACGAATAAATGCTATATTCGTAATGAAAACACGTGTACTATACGACATACGTTTTTCATATGGCTTTAATATGGTTCATGAATAAATAAATTCTGAAATAAAGTCAGTGTCCCTATCGCTCGATCCAAGCAAAATGAACCGTATTAGTACGGCAAAAAATTGAATTCTAACTGAGATAGTATCGACTCTTAACTTAAAGGAGCCTTTTTTTAGTTAGCAAAAATACGACGTTCTTCTTTTGAAACTCATTATTCATTATAGTTCAAAAGTTCATTACAGTTTTGTGTAACTAAACAAAAAGTTTTGTGTAAACAGCACTACATATAATGATATTTTTCAGTTCAGTAGCGAGTGCCATAGCCAATAGTATTTTGGTTCAGAACTTTTATGACATGGTTCATTGACTTACAATTATATGGACGTCGGGTCCGCGCTAAAAAGTGTCCGAACTTATAGGGCGTTAAAATCGTATACAGAGCGTCACGTTCACGCTTTAGTCTTCGTTTGTTCGACTGACAGCGAAGCAAGCAAAATTAGACAGTACTGCGATGACATTACAATTTAAATTCAACGTTTTAGCTTTTTCATATTCCTTTACATGTGACGTCCATTTATTTGTAAGTCAATGACATTTATAAAATTATAAATAAGGTACATAAGTAAATATGTTCTGTAAACATATAAAAAATATGTTATATAAATACAGGTGAACGATATTTGTGTTAGGAGTTTATTGCAATGTTTTAAATTTAGTTATGTTTTGATGTTGATTGTTAACGGCATCCATCATAAGGTAAATACGGAGTAGAGATGAATTTGAATTTAAATGTTTAGTATATAAGTTTAGTTTCATTTATTTCTCTTAACATTACAAATTTCATACAAATACAACATGTCATTTTATACTACGCTTCGAAAAGTGAGCGTCAGACTGTAATAAAAAGTTTAGTCATACGTGATCATACTCGTGATAACGAATAATATCAGGAAAATAATCTCAGTACAGAGTACTAAAATACCGACCTCAAAAGTACGTGGAGTACGTCTATTATCTAAGTTTTATTGAAATATCCCCTAGTTTGCCACTATACAGGACTTGACACTGGAGATAATAAAAATCGGTTCTCATTACTCAAAGTATATTGAGAGAGAAAAACGCCTTGAATTGGAGAAATAGCAAAATCAACCATTAAAATAATTGCTCCTTAAGTAAAATTTAGGCGCTATTTATAAAAATGAACCACCATGCGTGGACAGCCACCGATAGAGGTGGATGATTTTCTTCCAAATCAAATGGGTCCACTATGGAAGTACCCCCTTTCCAACAAACAAGAATCATGAAAATCGGTTCACAAATACCGGAGTTATCGCGTAACATACATACAAAAAAATACAGTCGAATTGAGAACCTCCTCCGTTTTGAAGTCGGTTAAAAAATACAATGTAATGGTCCGTTTACAAAATAATGAAGAAACAACATATAATAGTAAGTCAGAAGTACACAATAGCGTACATATTAAAATCAACATTAACTAATGACACTAATAAATTATTTGAATTAAACTAAAGGTGCACAGATTTGCTCGATCCTGAACACATGGGTAATAGGTCCCCGATTCTACGAACATCTACCCACAGACCTGAAAAGTGTTAGAAACGATGAAACGTTTTGTACCCGACTAAAAAACCTTTTATTGGATATTGAATTGTACAGTGTCGATGAGTTTCTTTTGAAACAATTTTAATTTTATTTTATTCGACAAGCATTATATTATAATTTTATTACTGACGATCATAGTTATCCCTTGACATTGTATTTCCAATTGCAATATTGTGACATTGATAACATGAAATAAACGATTCTATTCTTCTATTCTATTCTATTCTATTCGTGAAAATTTCTAGGAATCGTGTTTTCACACCATATGGTAATCAGTTCCTCAATTTTACTATATATATTGTATATATTGATTCCAAACTGATGGATTCAACACTTTCATTGTTATGCGTAATCGCCGAAAGCCGCTTGAGGTTGTTTGTATAGACTCATAAAAGCATCACTGTGTCCCTAACATAAAAACGTCAGTATATTTGTAAAATTATTAAAATTCAGTTTATTTTATTGAATAATATCTCAAAATAGTAGATAATAACGCAACACACTCCTACTGATTGATTGTACAACAAGTGCATAAAACGCGTAATTTTACGCGAGTCGCGTGGGAGGGTAGATACTTAAGTCGAGGGTAAAATGGGTTTTATGTACGAGTTATACTCTGCTTTTCACTTCGATTGCGAGGAAATTAAACAGCAATATTACAAATAAACGATTATTTAATTAAAATTGAATGTAAAATTACAACAATTAGACACATGTAATGTGATGGTTTTTATATTTTATACACTAGAGCATAAATCTATTTTAATGCAGCCTGCACCCAGCATAAATAACTTTAACAGCATGCGAAGTGAAAAGTAAGTTTACAGGTACAAAGGCGTAAGTATTTGGCAAAAAAAATAACTATTTAAAAACAATATAATAATATAATCCTTATATTGGTTATATATTGGTTGTTTTCATTATTTTAATTTACGCGTGTGAAAAATTGCAATAATTACATAATTAGGTCTTCAAATCGCGTTACTTTTAAGTACTTAGAGACTCGACTTTAAGATCTCAAATTATTAAATTGAGCCCAAGCAAAAATAAAATTTTAATATAACTGCTCAGTATTAACGTTTATTATATACTTTTGAACAACAGTCGCGTCTAGCCTGTTCCCATATCACGACTACCTGTCGTGACTGTGTCTTGGACGACTATTTTATCGTTGAACAACGGTCGTGTCTAGCTGTTCCCACTAGATCGTGACGACAATTTATCATTTCACGACAGCCTCCTTGTCGTTTACACCGCAGAGTCGTTTGATGCACTGCAGTTGCTTGTATGTTCTTTTGGAAGCCAGTAGTATGTGTTCGCTCCCGTGTGAAATGGATGAAGATGAAACTATATTAATGTGTTATTTTTTAAAAAGGCGGAAGAGGAAGCAAACGAAGAAAAGAAAGTTTTGTTAAAGTTATTAATAAGAATTCCATTAGGATTATGTCAAACGTTTATTAGCTGATCTGAAAACTGATGAGAGAAAATTGTGAGACTGTTTCAGAATTTAATATTTTGTAATAATATGCATATAATTAAATTTGAACAAAACTCAATTCACGGCAATGATTTAGTTGTAAAAAGTTTTTGACCTCGATTTCGGACATTAATTGGTTTTAACCCGATTTTAACCCGTTAAAACGATAAAAACCCCAGTGCTTGCCCATCTCTGGCTACGACCCCACGCTAGTGCAAAGCAAGCTGAGGGTGCGGGGTACGAGAGGGGAGAGTAGGAAGCAGAACACGTGCAGACAACCATAAATAAAACGGGACGACAATAGTAGCTGCGACTATCTGTCGTCACGTTTTTATCGTGACGTTTTATTAATCGTCTGACGACAATCGTTCTAACTCTTTCCATTGTCACGACAGTCTATCGTCGTAACGACAAAAGTCGTGAACGGCAGTTAATCGTGTCGTACTATATGTGAACAACTTTATTTAAATATACAAGCCACATCGAGATCTTAGGTTTTCGCGATTGTTACACATAGGAAATGAAACTATTTTTCCGGATTTAAATCGCGTATATTTGTTTTTTCAAACAACCTGTTGTCTCCACGTTTGAGTCAACCGTGACCATGGGACCTGTAAAGGGCCCGAAACGTCGGTTTGTTTGAAAAAACAAATATACGCGATTTAAATCCGAAAAAATAATTTCATTTCCTATGTATACAAGCCACGTCACTGTAAATAGCACCACTATCTATCGTCACAACTTAATGGGAACGCGCTCTAAGGGATCCCCACTACAATAGCATCTATAAAACCAGTTCCAGTCTAGTTATTCGCTTACATCGCCCTTGGCGTCAGTTCAGTTATCACGGAACCGGTCAGCGAAAAACCATGATACCGCTAATTATTTTGTTACTGTTTGTTGTTGCGTTCTATAAGTACGCTACAAGAAATCACGACTATTGGACAAAAAGGAATGTGAAACACGATCCGCCTCTTCCTCTATTTGGTAACCATTTGCGGAATCAACTTTTGATAAAGAGTGTGGCAGAAATAGCAACAGAATTTTACAATAAATATCCAAACGAAAATGTGGTTGGTTACTACAAAGGTACACAACCCGTATTGTATATCAGGGACTTGGATTTGGTAAAGCAAGTTATTACCACGGATTTTGCGGCGTTCTATCCAAGAGGACTTGGTCGCTCGGAGAAGTTAGAGCCAATATTTGCAAATCTATTTCATGCAGAAGGTGATTTGTGGAGATTACTCAGACAGCGGTTGACGGGGGCGTTCACAACAGCCAAGCTAAAAGCTATGTTTCCGTTAGTGGTGCGTTGTGCAGAACGGCTGCAAGATCTCCTCGGCGAAGGTGGCGATTTCGATGCACGAGACGTCATGGCGCGTTTCACCACAGAGTTCATCGGCGCCTGTGGCTTCGGCATCGAAATGAATACTATTAACAACGAACGCTCCCAGTTCAGAGAGTTAGGCAAGCGAATCTTTACACGATCTATTAAAACTCTTATTCTACTACCAATTGTAGAAATTTTCCCAGAGCTGAAAGATAAGTTTCGTCTAGACGACACCACTCTAGAAAGGAATATCACGGAGATAGTACAAGGTATACGAAAACAAAGAAATTACAAACCTATTGGCAGAAATGATTTTATAGATCTACTTCTGGAACTGGAAGCAAAGGGGAAGATTCAAGCTGAATCTATAGAGAAGAAGAACCCTGATGGCACTCCTGTAATGGTAGAAATGGAGATGGATTTGCCGTGTATGGTGGCACAAGTTTTCGTATTCTTCGCAGCTGGTTTTGAAACATCATCTTCGGCCACTAGCTTCACTCTACACCAACTGGCTTACAACCCTGACGTTCAACGGCGAGTGCAACAAAACATTGACGAAGTTATGGAGAAACACAACAACAAGTTCAGCTACGCCGCCATATCCGAAATGATTCTTTTAGACATGGCCTTTAAGGAAGGTATGCGGATGTTCCCGTCTCTAGCCACCCTTCACCGCATATGCATGCGAAAGTACACACTACCAGGAACAGACATTACCATTGACCCTGGCGTGAATATCATAGTGCCGGTGCAGGGAATTCATATGGACGAAAAGTATTATGACAACCCACAGGAATTCAGGCCAGAGAGGTTCACTCCTGAAGAGGTTCAAAAGCGGCACCATTACGCTTATTTGCCTTTTGGAGAAGGACCCAGGATGTGCATAGGTGAGTAGTTTGCATGAATTTATTTTCTGACATCGAACGTGTTTGTATGTTTATTTATGGTTATGTACGTTTATATCTCGACATTGGCGGCAGAAATAATATGAAGTCGTCATACCAATGATCTTATATTTGCGTCGTACTAAGTAAATAACTTGTGTAGAATCCCATTGAATCTGTGGTTGATAGCGTATTTACGAACATTATTTTAACTTCCATAGAAAATATATTTGTATTCACAGAAAAATGGCTTCATTAGCCGTAAAACAACAAAATGTACCAATTTATTGACAGGACGCAACAGAAACAATGTTCCAATTTTATTG